CAGTGGGAGAGATAGAAATCATGATTGCAGGTCATCTAATTTGTTTCATGTCTCCCAGTATTTATTTTGTTACTATATCATTTTTCTTCCAAGGAGATTTCCACGACCCCCCCCCCAAAAAAAAAGCTGGATCTTAAATGCAACAAAGGCAACGGTACTTAATAATAATAATAATAAATTAAAATCAGCTCTCATTGTTTAAAAATCAAAAAAACTTAAATCACAGACATGTTTAAAGGGAATGTATTTTCATTATTGCCTCAGCACACAAGGATATCTTCAACTATTTTATTGACCCAAATTCCTTTCAGGAGATAGTTTTATTATTTCACCACTGCCAATGAGAAAACTACTCCTGGCATCATATTGTAAACAAAACTCATTGGGGCCTCCCAAATAAAACCTAGAGCAGAAGTTGGATCATATTGGTGGAGAAAATTATTTCAAATACTCCTTTACATCTTGAAATAATCTTTTAAGTTTATAGCAACATGCCTTTGCATCTGAAACCTACCAGAATCAAATCGAGTATATTTAATCATTTATATGAGAGACAAAGAGAGAAGTTTGAAAGAATGGCCTTCAAATATTTTTTAGCAGGCCAGTGAATGCTGTCTAGACAATATTGTTAATGTTTTGAACCTATAGGATACATCTTGATGAATAGGATTAGATCAGAGGTGGGTTCCTACTGGTTCGCACTGGTTCAGTGCAAATGGCGACTGGGTCTCTTAACCAGTAGGGACATCATGCCCACCACACCCCCAAACTGGTTCCCAGTAACCACAACATCTTTTTTTAACCTGTTTTAATGTTCTGCACATGCACAGACCTATTTATAGGCAACTTTGCGCACCCACCGAACCAGCAGTAATGCCAACAGAAACCCATCCTTGGATTAGATATAGAGCGAGAAAGCTTTGCCATCCCCCCCTTTTTTTTTTGATTGCCAATCTTATGCTTTCTAAAAATGTGTCTTGTGTAATACCAAATTTTGTAAAATGTAGGAAGAATCATAATTTTCCTAAAAGGAGACTTTGGCACCTGTTCCCTCTTTCAGAGCCCAACTACCGTGGCAGAGGGTTTGGCAAGGAGGCCACTCTCATCATGATGTTTTATGGTAAGAATACCTAACATAGAATATGCAAACTCTGATTTTTAGCTGTTACAATGTAAGAGGAACAGAATGAGCCAAGAAATTAAGGAATTTGTATGGTCAAAAAGGGTGCCCAACAGAACAGATTTTCTGACAGAGCATATTAACAGTTGAGCAAAATATTTAATGTTGGGAGAATGGGAAAATGTTTCCATATCACTTTTACTTCAGATCTGTGTGTGTCTTCTGTTCAACTTCTTTGTGTCTTAAAAATGCCAAAGTGCAATTCAATTGTTTTGAATTAATGTGGTGTATTTACATTCTAGTTGATGTTGGATTTTAGCTTCATATGTAAAGTACTTTATGAACGAGTATTGTTTATTTAGAATAACTTTATTGTCACTTTAAATATACACTAATCGGCATACACTAAAATGAAATTTCATTGCATACAGCTCGCATAGGGTCACCACCTCTAATATACACTACATAAACATGACAATAAATAAACATATACCCACTTATATTATATGGCACAGAGAAACAGCATAGTTCAACTCGCACAAAATATACTAAAAACAAAATTTCAACTTGTCTTTAACAGTAGGAACATTGTAAGCATACCTTTAGTTAGTTAGCGTAACCAAATCAAATTACTTATCTGTGTATGATGGTACTGTTTCTAAGGAGTCAATGGACCCACTTGGAGATGCCAGGAATTCAGCATAGAGATGTTTACATGCAAAGTTTGTATACTACCATTAGTCTGTAATCATTCCTTTTCCAAATAAAGCTCTATCTTCATTATTATCTTCATCTGTAGGAATTACGCATCTTGGACTCACCACTTTTGAGGCAAAAATTAAATTGGAAAATGAAACCAGTATTGGCATGTTCAAAAAAATTCATTTTCAAGAGGTATGGTAACTGGAAGCTGTCCTACTGCATGTCAAGTTGATATTAAATTGTGTTTGTTTCAATGATAACTTTATCTTCCATATTACCCAGGTGGGAGTAAATAGAACCTTCCAAGAAGTGACACTGAAACTGATTATGGACGAACAGGAGAAACAGTGGCTTTTTGAGCAAACTAATGGAATGATTGAAACAAAATACAGTGCCATGAAACTGCACCACAATTGTGACAGCTGAGAAGCTACGCTCAATTTGTCTCAAATTTAGAAAGATGGCTTTTTCTTGTCCAAAATTGGAATCGTGTCCCGAATCCATGGCACTGGCTCTTGCTGAAGAAGAAAATGAAGTGTGACCTCTGCCTTGTAATTGCCTTAGATTTAATTTAATTTATTAGATTTATAGGCCGCCCGATCCCGGAGGACTCCAGCCGGCTTACACAAAACAAGAAAAGAAAAACAAACAAAATAAAATTAAAATAAAGATTAAAATTCTCCAACAAGCTTACATTCAAATTGGGGCTGGATCCTACATAATAGGGTCAACAGCCCTAGGTCTGCCAGAACAGCCAGGTTTTTACAGCTTTTCTGAAGGCCATGAGGGTGGGCGAGGTCCAGACCTCTGGGAGTAGCTGATTCCACAGGTTCGGAGCGGCCACAGAGAAGGCCCTCCTCTGAGGCCCCGCCAGCCGACACTGTCCGGCTGACAGTGTCCTAAGTAGGCCCACCCTGTGGGATCTTATCGGCCGTTGGGAGGTATNGCCCTCTGGAGCTTGAGGAGGGCGAAAAATGGCTTTAAAAAAGGCTGAACTCAGCTAGCCAGCGCAGACATGCAACGCCTCATGTCCCCTGACAAATGGTTCCGCATGCCACCTGTGGCACACGTGCCGTAGGCTCACCATCCCGGCTATAGGGGATAATATTCTAAATAAGCCTAGTTACTTTTTCCTCAATTTTCTGATTAGATACCATGAGTGGATGAAGTCTGAAGAACTACAGCGTCTGACTGCATCTGAACCCCTAAGCCTTGAACAGGAATATGAGATGCAGTGCAGCTGGCGGGAAGATGCAGACAGTGAGATTTCTGAATATTTGGGAAGACCTGGAAAGGGGTAGTCTACACATATGTTGCGTGGTTCATTTCACAAATATTATTTATCTATGAAACGTATATGGCGCCGATCTGGCCTAGGCAGCTTACAACCGATATAAGCAACAAGATGAAACATCAAAACAATAAATAGTGACACTAAAATTGACTTTAAAATTAACAAAGATGACAAAGAAGGGAGCAAGATGCACACAGGGGGGAGGTGGGGTCTCATCTCAGTCTGTTAACCACCTCAGTATGACACACACCCTTGACAAGCCCTACAGGTAGTTAAAAGAAGCATTTTTAGACCATTACTGCTAATTGTTACAGTTTAAACTTTACAATTTCATAATTTTCAGTTCTGGAAATGCTTTTTATTGTAACTCAGTTCAATCATGATCAAATACAAAGAGATATTGTATTATAATAGAAAATCTTATTTAAATGTTTATGTACAGTATATTATGGGGCATTCTATTATACTCGGTGAAAGATTTCTGAAGGAATACAAATTAACTGATGGTTCTAGTCTTTTCAGCTATTTTGATACCCTTCTACATCATTTGCTTGGATTATCATTAGGAGACATGATATTAATATTGATTACAGTTCTTCCTGGAAGAGAAGTCTCAAAATGAGATGCTAGGAAAATTTTATTTTACCACAACATTGTTAGTCCAAGGACAATATTAATCTGTGAGCAAGCTTCTACCTACCATGTTTTAACATCTCCCTGAAATCCTTCAAGGAAGCTATCTTGAAGTTTCATGCAGTCATCATGAGAATCTATTTACTATTTCTACATACCTACTTATTCCAGGATGGCCCTAAAATTTTTGTTTCAGGATTTGAAAGCACTTTTGGGTAGATAGAAGATAACAAGACAGTGGAGTTAAAGTTTGGAAAACTAAATATTTTTATGGAGATCTACAGTTCTTAAATAAGGTTGTACTCCTATCAAAAACCTAAATGTGCAACCTGATGGCATTCAGGCTAGACTTTTGTAATACACTCTACATGTTATTATGTATTTAGAAACAGATCTCGACTGTTCAGACATGAAACAAACATCTCTTTCAAACTTTTGTGGTCCGTGAAATTGGACTGCAAGCTGGAAATGTTTTCTGTAATATTGTATAATTCTGGTTGCCATTGAGAGTTTGTCAGTCTTTCTTTTGAAATGTTGTACAGAACAACTGTTTTCCTTGGCTTTTTAACATTAGTCATTAATTATTAGATTATTAATTATTATGATTTATTTATTATTAATTTAAAAACTCATTAGCTACAATGTTTTCAATTTTATTGTAAAGACCAGATATTTATTTTTTATCTGATGCCAATTGATTGTAGTATTTCAGAAAAATGCGATAAATTGCCCTTAGAAGATATATATTTATGTAAAGTGAGAAATCTGTAATTCAATTTTATATACCTGCAGAATGTGAAATGGAGTGCTGGTAAGAGAGTAGAATAGTGGCCAAAGCTAGATAATATTGATTCCAGTAATCATATATATTTACCTTGATTTTATATATTATGCTTCTTCCAGAGATTCATAATAATCTTTTCTGATTCTACTTTTTTTTACGTTTCCCAGAATGCACATTTATAATACTTGATGCTGAAAAGTGGTCTAGCCAGAAAGCCACAGAAGAAGACTGTATGGTGGGAGATGTGAACTTGTTCCTTACCAATTCTGAAGATCCAACAGTGGGAGAGATAGAAATCATGATTGCAGGTCATCTAATTTGTTTCATGTCTCCCAGTATTTATTTTGTTACTATATCATTTTTCTTCCAAGGAGATTTCCACGACCCCCCCCCCAAAAAAAAAGCTGGATCTTAAATGCAACAAAGGCAACGGTACTTAATAATAATAATAATAAATTAAAATCAGCTCTCATTGTTTAAAAATCAAAAAAACTTAAATCACAGACATGTTTAAAGGGAATGTATTTTCATTATTGCCTCAGCACACAAGGATATCTTCAACTATTTTATTGACCCAAATTCCTTTCAGGAGATAGTTTTATTATTTCACCACTGCCAATGAGAAAACTACTCCTGGCATCATATTGTAAACAAAACTCATTGGGGCCTCCCAAATAAAACCTAGAGCAGAAGTTGGATCATATTGGTGGAGAAAATTATTTCAAATACTCCTTTACATCTTGAAATAATCTTTTAAGTTTATAGCAACATGCCTTTGCATCTGAAACCTACCAGAATCAAATCGAGTATATTTAATCATTTATATGAGAGACAAAGAGAGAAGTTTGAAAGAATGGCCTTCAAATATTTTTTAGCAGGCCAGTGAATGCTGTCTAGACAATATTGTTAATGTTTTGAACCTATAGGATACATCTTGATGAATAGGATTAGATCAGAGGTGGGTTCCTACTGGTTCGCACTGGTTCAGTGCAAATGGCGACTGGGTCTCTTAACCAGTAGGGACATCATGCCCACCACACCCCCAAACTGGTTCCCAGTAACCACAACATCTTTTTTTAACCTGTTTTAATGTTCTGCACATGCACAGACCTATTTATAGGCAACTTTGCGCACCCACCGAACCAGCAGTAATGCCA